TAATATAAAAAACACACACACATTTTAAAAAAAAAAAAATTTTTTAATAAAAATAAAAGTTTTGTGAAGGTGAAGTTGAACCGAAACAACCTGCCATTGAACTCACTGGATAGAAATGATTCTGTTCAGCAAAAGAAACCACAGTAGCGATTCAACACCAAATACTCTGCTCACGCAATACAGGCTTACAAATACTCAAAATGACTATTGTAAAAACTAAGTAGCAGGCACTTACTTTTCAGTGTATGTCCTTGTGGGACTGAAGGCACAGGTACAGCGACTAGACTCCGTGTGACAGCCGGTCAGTCAGAAGTGAAAGTCAGTGACTGTAGCTGCAGGCATGTGTGTGTCAGATCCGCAATCAGTTCACCTGCTCTTTCACAACAGACGAAAAATACTGGCTATCATCCACAGCTGGAACAAATAAATGACGTCTGAGAACACGCGAAGTAGGTTTTTCCTATTGGCTCTGTGTATTTTAGTGGAGGCAGAGCCTAATGTCTAAATTAAGTGTTTATTCACGTGTACACGGATCTATATGAAATCACCGTGACGCGGTCTAAATTACCTGCTGACATAATCCAACGATAAGGCATTTCACTCGCCCTGTAGACTTCCGGTGTGCCCAATTTCGACCCCCTGCCAAATTATTACTCCACTCCTTTAAGTGCCTAATCCTAAACCTTCCAATACTAGGTGGGTAATAATCTGGCGAGGGGGTCAGAATTGGGAACAACACCTGAGCAATGCAATAGGTGATAGGCTAGTTCATGCTTTTTCATACATGCTAGCACACCATACATGGTGAACAATAAACCAGAGAATCACTGATAACATCTATCTGTAAGCGTACATTTTTAACCATTTCAACTGTTTACGATGAACTCTTTCCTGCAGTGATATTAGCTGAAGTTTGGACGCTGAACACCTTCTAGTTGTCAAATTCAAATTTAGACAATGGCGCCACCCCGTGGATAAAACACGTAGTTTGCCCAACATGAGTTAATATGTTTATATAAAAACTGGTTAACGCAAGGCAACAGCTGATTGTTTTGTAAAATATATTAATGGGTGATTAAAACAGTTTTTGAATCGCTTCACGAGTCAGTGTTAATTACGTTCATGAAAGTTCGAAACGAATCATTCTTTTAAGTCGGATCTGTGATTAAATTATTCATTTACTAATTGGACTGATTCGTTGTTCAGTTCAAATGAATGGCCATAAAAATAGGGGGGATCAGGTTGTGAGAACCAGAAACAGAACTTAACTGAACAGAACAATTACTTTTTGATGCAATGTAGTAGTGATTTTGATTCACTCAGTGATTCGAGTCTTCTGAAGCGTATAGGCTATTCTCAGTGAGTCATGAATCACGAATTGATTCGTTAAAAAGTGTTTTGTTTTGTTGTTTTTTGTCAATTATGGGCGTCCAAGGAAATTGGGAGTGGGTGGCGAATTTAGGTTTAGCACGTGTATTGTGGTAGTGTTAAAAAATCATGAACATAAGCACAAAGGTAGTCATTTAGCAGAGACTTTTATGCATAGAGACCCCACACTTACAGTCCAGAAATTGCATTGCTTAAAGATAAAAATTATGTTGGTTCATACTCGTTGTCCCTTTTGTCCCAAACTACACATTTTATCCACCATTTATTAAATAAGATTAATACTTCTGAAAATAAATAAATAAATAAAACATTTTAGCATAAGGTGGTGTAGGAAACTTTTTCCTCGTCGAAGCTGAGACCAGGAGACGTTGGGATATCTTTCATACAGAAGTCACTCTTTATATCTACTTCTGGTAGGCCAAATAAAGTGCTTTTGCTTTCGCACTGAAACACACAGCGTCTCCCTGACATGGCTGCTTTAACACTAACTGCGGTTACTGAAACCATGCCTTCTTTCTTTGCGTGCACATTTGGGCGGCATTATGCAAATATTTCCACATGGTGAGGTAGATATGTGGGGGCGTGTTAGAACGAGCCGTTTTAGGGGGGCGTGGCAGAGTCTTAACTTTGATAAAGAATATCTCTTTGGTTTTGAGACTTTAGTCTTTGCAACTTCAGGGATCTTATCTATGCACAATCAGCTTGTAACACTCCAAAGAGAAAGGAAAACTTGAAATCGCATCATATGACCCCTTTAAGAGAATCATTTGTCTGATGTTATTTACCTTAAATGCTAAATACAATGTACTTCACCTTAGTTTTTTCATGTGATGCTATGTCAGAACATAGGATCAGCATATTTTAAACAGATTCTTAAATTTGTAATCCCACAGTGGCAACATAACAAAATGTAAAAACTATGCTATGTTATTGTGCATTTTTTTGGGCCCCATACAGCTTGAGTTAATATTATGAATCACATATTATATGTAGGATATCCAGGGTTCAAGTCACAGGTAGATATATTTGTGTTTAGTAAATCAATTTACATTTTAAAAAATGCATTTGAATGTGAATGGGTTTATATCAGAAGCATGGAGCCTTTGGAATGATTTGGAATGATGTTTTCATCATTTGTAGCTGTAGCAGTAATTATTTTACTGGTTTGTTGGTTATAATTTTATGTGACTCCATATGACTTCTCACTCCCCACAGAATTTCTGCCGTGATATCTTCTCCAGGTCAGTGTTCAGTGATTGCAGAGGTCAGGTGTCCATTGATTAATTTGTCCAAGTTTGCATGAAATACCTGTGCCATTGCAACGGCACCTCTGGATCCTTCCGTCTATGCAAATCCATCGGCGAATATTCAAGGCAGGGTGTACATGCAGGGTGGAATGCAGCAAAGCCAAAAGTTTTCCGCAAAACCTTAATTTGCTCATGAACATTATTTAAAAAAAAAATAATAATAATAATAATATTTGTGCGTAGCACGTTTTAATAAGGGGACAAATAATGAGTGCGCCTGAGAAAAGAAGATATAATAAAATGTGTTATGTATTGCATAAAAAGAGGCCTATATCCAGGTAAACACAAATAAATATAGAATAAATGCAGCAAAATAAGAAAAACGGAATACAACCAGTTGTGAATTAAATAAATAAAATATAGGCGACTGTAATTGTGCGTCACAGTTGATTTGCATGTCAAATTCGCGTACAGTCACTGAATGTCTGGCATTTGCAGTAAATATGTATAGCCAGAGATGCAGTACAAAGAGGTTTGTGTTTGTGTGGATGCGCATCGCACCGCCCCGCCTCGCGCAGCTGGAGCTCCTCTGATCGCACGCGCACTGTTCAGAGACCAACCGCGCTGTCAACATGTTTCTGCTCGGATTCAGCCTGTGCCTGGCCATCGTCTATGGAATTGTCCCCGAAATATCCAAAACAGACATGGACATCATTTCAAACATGGAAGCAAATGTAGAAGAAGGACAAACGCCACTGAGCGATATGTTCAGAGAGGTGGAGGAACTGATGGAGGACACGCAGCAGAAGCTGGAGGACGCGGTGCAGCAGGTTTTCTACTTTCAAATACAGTCGAATTATTGTTCTTCACTAATGAATCTCTCTCAGAGTAGATCTGGAGAATGATTTTCCGTCATAACTAATAGCTGCTTAGTTTTAATAATAGCATCACTGGCTACATGCCAAATCAGAGCAGAGTTTTCCTAAAAATGATCCATCACAGCTTAATTCATGTTAGATAGCATGGACATGATAGATATGGCATGAAATTATTTTATAGACAGAGATGGAAATTATTTTCATAATCTTATAGGCTACACTTTTCATACTGTTTTACCTGTGAATTGTTGTTAGGTGTTATTCTTCAGCGATCCCCTAAATTTGCCATTTATCACCAACCTGATATAAAAGAACTGATGACCGATTAAAGTTGAAAAGTGAATATAAGTAATACATAATGGTTAAATTGATTATCAGTCTATCCTACAGACCTTTTACCTCTTTACACAAAACTGTATAGTCAGGTAACACTGGTAAAATAAAAATAAAAAATCATATCACTGATTAAACCTTTAAAAACGGTACCACTGTAAGGGAAGTCATTGTAAAGTTTTACATTAAAAAGAATTATAAAGTTGTGCGAATCATAAAATACTTTAGTTTTTGCTTCTTGTTACGCCCAGAACTATGTTTAATCAGTTAGGAATTGCTCTTTTATGAGGACAGTCTATAAAACTATTTTTAAAATCCTTACCCAGTTATAAATAACTGAAAAGGTTATGGAAATTAAATAGTCACAAGTTGTGTGAATATTTACATCAATGAATGTGATTTTTAAGGGTCAGGTCATGTAGATTTGGTGCAGTTTTACTTATTGCAGCGTTTTCCTTTTTTTTTCCAGATGGACAATGAGACAGCAAAATCCAGCCTCCATCCACACAACGTCTCTTCAAACCTCCAAAATTACAGTATGGAAATCATAGCTGGGAATCAATCTATTTATACTGCTGAGAGAATCAATAAGGTGGGTATAGAGCTTTAGTCTGATTCAATAAGGCAGCCTAAATAGGCTACAGTTATATGACTCTCCACAATACATGATTCTGATTGGTCAAATCATTTGGCATAATGACCACTTAAAGACCCCCTGTGGTGAAAATCAAGTTTTTGAACGTTGTTTACACGTGTATCTGTACTTTTAATATATTATTAACAATCCATGTGCAAATTCATCAGTCAACATCATCGCTGAGCATTATTAGACTATCTAGATCAAGGCCTATGGTTGCTAACTTGCTATAGTCTCTTCTTGTAGTTTTGTATTCTTTTTTTTAATTGATGCTCTCTGAGTAGTATGTCCTCTTCTTTTGTATGTTGCAGCACATCCGTGCCCAGAAAGTATGGTCCACCAAGAGTGTGTAATATACAATAACAGATACCTATCCGTCCCTCTGTTCAGCCCCAAAGAAGGTGGAATGCCATGCAAAACATTATCCTCAACATTCTCTTTTGCAGCTTGGACAGGTTGTGTTATTTGTAATGCAAAAGATGGGCTCCTGTGTTTGAACAAAAATCAAGATATCACACAGCAATGCTTTGATTATAATATCAGGGTATTATGCTGCCATGGAAAATGTGACAACTCCACACAGACACCAACAACTCCTTCGAGGTTGTCAGGTTTAACAACAACCACAATTTCAAGTACACCTTCAGCAACTTCTACACCTTCCAAGACATCAAAACCATCCCCACTTATTCCTACCCCGCCATGCACTTGTCAGTGGTCAAAATGGTTGAATTTTGGTAGACCAACAAAAGGTCCTGACACCTATCCAACCACCTGCTCAATACCACAGGGAATTGAATGCCGTGCAAAACTTTATCCCCGACTTCCTGTATCACAGCTTGGCCAGGTAGTGAAGTGTAATCTTAAAGATGGACTTGTTAAGTCAATTAACCTTGTCCATTTTTCTTTCTTTTTCAGTAGCAATGCACAAGCACAGAATTCACAGTTCAAGGAGACCTGGTGAAATGTGGTGTGACTGAAACTGAAACCTGTTTGAAGTCAGTAACGCTGGCATTGTTAGATGGAACTAATGTAAGTACTAAAAAGGACTGAAAAAAAAATGAAACAGTTAATGTTTTCCAAAACAGCCTTTTATCATAACTTGACGAAACTGCTCCTCACTCTTCATGTCACTGCCATTTATATTAAATCTACATGTCTTAAACATTTGCAAACAGAAAACATTCATTGATTTTTTATTTTATTTTATTTTTATATTCCCTTGCATACAGGTGATTAAAGTGGATTCCAGTGGATCCAACAGAATAATTGCCCAGATGTCACTTTTTACAGGTAGGCAAATCAACAAAAAGAAGGGAATTTTTTTATTTATTAATAATAATAAAACCAACACTGATAAGCATACCAGTACTGAATCAGTTTTTGTAATAAACGGATTTTGGACTTTTGTTTTATTTTTACAACCGGTGATTCCACAGAGATATTATACCGGGTGACACTGGAGAATAACCTATGTATGCAATTTCCCGTGAAATCTGCCCCTTACAGCACTAAAATATAAATCACTATTATTACAGTTTTATCAAAGTGTATTTGGGTAAAGTAAAGACATGGTTTGGAAGATTTGTTGGCGCATTTTCAATGATAGCATTTTGTTGTTTTATTTTTTTATTGAAAAAGTTACAAAGTGTAACTTTAATTTCAGAGGAAGGTCATTTGGTGAATGCAGGGAACGTGAAATCTTTATTTCAAATAGTGTAGGTGCATTTGAATAATTATTCAGAAAAAAAGTTAGTGTGGACATTGCTTATACAAAAACTGCTTGATTTCTGCTTTATTACTGATTACCAATGTATGCAATTATATATTATTATTTGATTTTCAGCTGATGTGAGCATTTTCAAGCCCTCTTCATTCTACATTGTCATTCAGGCCCATTTGATTGGGCTTCGTCTAGAGATCCAGCTTGTACCATTAATGCAACTTTACATCACAGTCAATTCAGTGTACCAAGGAGAAACATGCGTATTTTTTTTTTACAGACCTCTTATCTTTAACCCTCTCATGCAATACTCTGAATAAAAGCAGCATCAATTTATTAAATATGCATGTTTATTCATTGTATATCTTTGTCTTTGTGGCAATTTCAACAACATTGAGGCTGATGACTTCACAACCTTTGGTGGACTCAGGGAAGGAACAGTTTTTGATTTTGTAGGCTATTAATTACGTTCTCCAAACCGCGTTTTTTGTCTTATTCCTAATCACTACGGTACACTTATAATAAGTACTTATATTTGGACTATTGTAGCCTGGTCGGGTCGTCACCACTGCGGAGTAACACATACCTGCGTGAATCGCCATAGACATAAACTTAGAGAAGTAGCTCCGGTTGGAATGTTCTTCCGCGGGATGTGTGCAGTTCTGTTTATTAACCGCTAGAGCGCCAAAAGTTACATAGTGCTGCTTTAAATCTATATTATACCAAAGACAGTCTAAAATACGAAATAGTCCGTTTCCTACCATGAAATAAATTTCACAAATGGTTCTAAATATGTCATTTTGGTTATCAAAGATGAGTTTTAAGGGATAAAATTAGTAACTGCATGGGAACTTTACCTGTATAAGTCATATTGTCCTAGGCAACTGGTTTCCTAGACACGATATTTCTTGTCATTCTCCAGTTTCTTCTCACATACTCAAATCATTATTTTGAGTCCATTTATTTATTTTTGTGGTAAGTAATAAGTCTGAATATATAATTCAAATGAATGTCCCATCATTCTGTGTGTTTTATCATGTTAAATGCATGATAATCTCGGTAGCTAAATAGATTTCTGTGCTTTTACTCCCAGACAACAGACAATTCAACCGAAGAGACAAACAACTCAACAACCATACAGCCCAGAGATGAAGAGAACAGCATTGATCACGTAAGCTGTCTGTCTGTCCATCTATCTTTCTGTCTAATTGTGTCTGAAAAACCCTTCTTTTATCTTGCTCAGCCAGACGTTGCCACAAGCAAAGCCCTTTTATTTGCACACATCTTCTTAGAGACGTCAGGAGGAATGATGTTCGGGAAGAGGAATACTCTTCCTCAGCTTTAATTTGCCATCTGACTGAAATGAGGCTGTCTGCTGTGTATTGACCTGCTCTTTTAGATGGCAGGGATCTGGATCTTCAGCTGGCAAGGCAAGATAACGCCAGATAATCAACGGATCTCGTCTGAGGCTTCACGGATCCATTTGACAGTTTAGATCCACTAATTCCAGCCATCCAGAAAGCTCAGACAGAAGAAACCAAAAGCACAAATCAGTTTGTAGACAGATGTAGTATAGGAGGAAATATAATGAATCCATTTCGAGGTCATTCTTTTGATAACATTTATTTGTACATTAAGTTTCTTCCTGTAAAGTGAACGACCTGTTCCAGGTTGTTGCATGTTTCAGTTAAATGTGTTTAACAATTTAAAGCCTAACACATGCAATAATAGTC